AAACTCACCAGACTGAACTATGGCCTGGTGGATTCCTTCATCTAAAGCCAGATTGCCTATAATACGAACAATGTTTCTCTGGATCTTCAGGGATTCCCTCCTGAGCTGGTAAAGCCTCTGAAGGAGCTGCAGGCCTCCATTTGCAACGATGTGGTCACAGTGGCTCTGTACCTGCAGGTTATCAACCACACAATCATTCCAACAAACTAAAACTGGGATCAGTCATGAGACAATGAAATAAAGAACTAAAAACAACGGAATAAAAAAAAAGAAAATTCAATTCGACTGAATTATAAGAAGCCACAAAATAAAACAGATCTATTTTAATTAATTCAAAATGTGCGGGATTGCACAACAAGCTGCACAACAAGGAAATGAGTTTAAAAAAAGGGAAAATTGCATTTTCAAATTTAATGGTGTTCATGTGCATCGTTACCTTTGAGTGCTGCACCAGAGCCTGCAGACAGAAGGTTTCCACTTTTTCTGAAGGAACAGAGGTCAGGCTCTGAGCGTACGGCAGCCCATTGCCACCGAAACACCACAAACCACCCTGCAACACCAGCGAGGGCACATTTCAGCAACCCGATTTGAAATCTCTTACTTTTAGGCAACTGTTTGCGTCTGTGATCTCAGAGCAGACTCGTGCACACGTYTGTCCTCGTTACCCTTTGTGCAGCCATGGACTGCGTGCTCTCCCTGAGCGCCAGCGAGGTGAAGTACTGAACGCATTTATCCACGTCAGACAGAGGAAGAGACGCCAGCAGCTGCCGTAGTCCATCCTCTGCAGACAAACCCTAAACAAAAGAAAAAAAACACATTTCATTTCCCCGCTTCTGTACACCCGGCATGAGGTAAAGCTTCAGTTCTATGTTACAGATGTTTCTTAAAACATACATCTTCCAAGTCGGGCAGTGGAGGTGGGTGTCGAAAGAATCGCAGGTCCACCTGAGGAGTTCGGGCCAGGCCTATTGCGGTCCGCTGGTCGATAACCTGCGCCGCTGTCTGGTACTGGTAGTCTGGATTATTCACAAAGGCTTTAATCTAACAGCAGCTCGGGTTGTGTAAAGTCATTTGAAAAGAGAGTACAGACTGTGGACTTTTACCTTGCCAGTGGTGATTGTCTGCAAGCTCCTGAACAGCCTGCAGCCGTGTGTCCTGATTGGCTGATTGGGTCCTCTTCAGCAGTACCCATAATGCAACTTCATGTGGTTGTGCATCCACATGACTGAAGTGCTCTGAGAAACACAGCTTTATTTAGAACTAAAGAATTTGCCTTTCCTACAGAAATCCTACAGCTTAATGCTGAAAGGTTTTAGCTGAACAGTTAAAAAAGCTGAAACTAGCTGTTTTATAAAAGTAGCTGAAATTAGCACAAAGAAATAAAAAATGCACGTTTGCTGAATTAAGCAGGGTAGGGGTCACCTCGAGGGGGAATACTGTAAACATTTCCAACATTTCTCAGAAGACCTTCCTCAAAAGAGACATTTTATTTTCTTTAATAAACAAAATAATAATGTTCTTTATATTTTTGATTTATATTTTCTTTTAACTAAAAGTTATTATCATTTTATAAATCAAAGTAAAATAATGAAATGAATGACAATATATCTTCTTGCATTATAATTAAGAAAAAGAAAAAAACAACAACAAAAAGAATATTGTTC